CACACACACACACACACCATCAGTTGGCAGCTAGAGACGATGTGTGGGCTGGAACGCAACACTGATCAGAGATAATGGGCAGACATGACAGGGATGGCAATGCTGTCACACTGAGAGAGGAAGGAAGGAGGGATGATGGAGCAAGAGGCAGAAAGAGAGAGACAAAGAAAAAAAGAGATCAAGAAAGAAAGAGAGGGAGAAATAGGGAGGGAACGAAGGAAGGAAGGAAGGAAGAAACTCCCAATTCATCAGCAGACACAGAACAGACAAAAGATAGGAAATGAAAGAGGGCACATGCCAGCTCATGTCAGCTCTTCGACACCCCTCCCCCGCCTGGACCCCTTCACAAATTAGAGGCATCCCCTTCTGCTTCTTCCACTCCTTTTGCATCTTCTTCTTCTTCTCATCGGGGGGTTGATGTTGAGGGGTCTGGCACAGAACAAATGTTCTTCACCTGATGTTGCGCACCCCCCATCCCCCCAGCTAACAACTCCCGTAGTCCTGCTCAACCAGACGAGTGACATTACAAACGGACGCAAATAAGCAAACACGTCAGTGTGACTTAATGTTCACACTGACTCATTCAGCCTCTATTGTCTTGCACAATTTCTCATATTTTCAAAAGCTCATGCGAAAGGCCTAGACCAGGGATGACACACACATCATCACCTGTAGCATTGTTTAAGATCAGGTCCACCAAAGAGTATTTGAATAGTTTTTAGAGGCCTAAAGAGGTTAAATTATTATCATTCGCAAACAAAAAGGATAGGGGGGAACAGCAGAAAAAGTAAATGTAATTTTGTGGCATAAATGTTTTTTTCCTGATTTCCAGTTCTGTAAGTCATCGCACAACCTCTCAGATTTATACTGTCCGCCCTTGGGGAGGGTCCCGACCCCCAGCTTGGAAACCATTGCCTTATTATATCAGCTACACTGCAAAGGGATTCCCCCTGCTATTGAATGCAACCATGACTGAACCGGCACCTTAATTAGACACAATCTGTGAAACCAAAGAAGAGAAAAAAAACATTTTGTGTCTCTCCACCCTCAGCTGTCAGTTTTGTCTTGGTTTTCCCAAAACAGACTTCAACAATATCTGTCTTCTATACAGGGTGGCAAGTGACAGCGGCAGAGAACTGCGAGAGTAAGAGACAGACACGCAGAGAACCCACAGGCACACAGTCAAACACAAACATTTAAACAGCTTGATTGCATGTGGGGAGATGGGCTCCGGGGGCCGCATAAGCCCTATATTTGCTCAACAGCAGAAATAAGTGGACCACTGAGGAAGAGGGATGAAGCGTCTTCTAGCAACGGTTATGAAATGAGAGAGGCAGGCGGACAAAGATGAGAGAGAAACGGAGATCATCCCTTTCATGTTAATTGCATCATCCCTTTATCATGCCCGCCACATGCTCATCAAACTGCATCTTGCGTACTGTATCTGTGATCATAAAGAGAGGGTGTTTGTCTGCTAGGCCACAAGGTCACAGGAGTCATTTTCACTGTAGAGGATAGAGATGTGAGAGTATTTGCAGGAAGCTTCAGTTCCATGTTGTTGATGATGATGATGGTCATGTTGATGATGATTACTTGTATTATTTACAGTTATTAATGCATTATTTGATGCATGGAGGGATTTATGAGCTTCACATGTGGATTTATGATAATTGTATTTATAGAATAGATACTAAGGCTGTCTAAGGTAAGGATTGGAGTTATAGTACTTGTGTAGTGGTTCTGGTTTCAGTTAGGTGCATGAATGTACGTGAATGCAGTGTCCTCTTACAAGACAAAACTAAATCTTCAGTGTGGGTGTTTTATGTGAGACTGGATGTGTGTAAAAGAGGATACGCCTACCTATATCTGCCCTATAGGTGAGCTGACTTAGCATGAGCTGTGTATCAATCTGGGTCAGTATGTACACGTCCATACACACACACACGTGTACACACAATACAAACACTCTCCCACACCCACAGGGGCTCACTTACCGGAGCCCCATCCCCCCTTCACGCTCACACACTATATTAGCTTACTGTACACAGACAGAGCACATGGTTCTGTGGATGCACACACATATTTATCTTGAACACACACTTGCACACGTAGTAAATGGACACACACATAAACCTGGATGAGCAGTGTGTAACAGTGTCTGAGATAATGGCTCCCCCCCCCCTCTTTCATAGCCCCAGGCTTTCGCAAAAGTCTTTGTCAATTTTGAAAAAAAAAAAAAAAAGTGTGCACGTTTGCGTGCACGCACACACGCACCCGTTTTTATCTGCCACTATAAATCCTTTCATGGATCACTTCCTCAAAACACCCTGCCAATATTCAACTTCCTCATGGCAGCAACTGAAGCAGTGAATTGTAGCGAGCACAATAATACGAAGAAAAGATAACAAGAAAGGGAGAGTGAAAGAGATTACTTAGAATTCTTATTCTTCTCAAAATCAAAACAAACACTAATAGTATTTACTAGCATTTTAAATCTCGGTGATAAGGCTGAGTATCTTTAGGATTTACCACCGTATCAGGGTTCTGGGAAAGATCTGAGTGTGTGTATTCTTAAATTCATTAACACATTAGTATTCAATTGAAGTAATAGGTTAGTGAATAACTAAGTTATAACAGCGGTGGGTCAGGAGGTAGAGCGGGTTGTTCACTGATCACAGGGTTGGCGGTTCGATCCCCAGCCAAATTGCTCCCGATGGTTAGGCCAGCCCCTTGCGCGGTAGTGAGTGCGTGGGTGTGAATAGGTGAATGAGGGGCTAATTGCTATATAAATTAAGTAATTTACCAAATGACTTGGTCTTCTTGTAATGTTTTATCAGCTTGTCAAAAACCACAGCAATATTAAACCATACACTGTAAATACACGTCAATCATAAGGTCCTGATATCAGTATCTGCACTCACTTTCAATCCAATCAAACCAAATACCCAAGAAGACTGTTTTCTTCTCTGGAGAAGAATCATGAAAGTGAGGGAGGAAAACTGACAGCAGAGACTCGGTGCCCTTTGACCCCCTTATAACTCTTGGACTGTCTGGATGCCTAAAGATGACCCTTTGCACAGCTGACACCTTACTAACGCCCACATGTTTGAGTGACAGATGGTAAATACATCTGAAGTGTTTAGTAGGAGGTAAAATTGTACATTTGCAGACTCTCCTTTGTTTTTGTATCTCCACTAACCCTCAACTTGCCCCTTATCCCCTCTCTTCTTCTCTCTCTCTCTCTCTCTCTCTCATTCTGTCTTGCTAGCTACTGTCGCTCTTTGCCAAGTCTTCAGCACCACACTGCTTTTTAACTGCTGTTCCCTTAAGACTTTCAGTAGCTCGTACAGTAGGTCCCCCTCTTTGTCTGTCTAGTCCTCCTCCATTCTGCTCTTCAGCTGTTTCTACTCTTTTATCCTCCACGCAACACAGTGCACACACACAAAGTAGGTTAATGTCTTTATCAGATCCAAATCCATGTATGATCCTTTGATGGCATAACCAGAAATTTTGAGAACTGACTTGCTTTTGACCACTTTCATTTTAGAGTGCTGTGGCTGTCTAACAAGCTTTTGACAACTACTGCGAGTCCCGCCTCTCTCCCGTACTTCTTACATAAAAGCACACAATCAAATACGCACTGCTATAGCATGCATTACAATGTTTGCCCTTTGAGCTATGCAGTTTGTACAATGGCAGGGAAATGTCAGGTGCTGCCAGTCCAGAGGGCTGTTAAGGTATTTTGTTATCGCCACATTAGGAGGAGTAGGAAACTAAGCAATGTCCCAGTGAGAACATTAATGATTAATAAACTCTTCGTCAAAACTCACACACACTGATCCATGCAGGATGGCTAAAATGTGTAGAAGGTTTTGTTTCTTGTAGTTCTCTCGTATTTATATTTAATATATATGATTGTGTGTGTGTGTGTGTGAGAGGGGGGGGGGAGACCCATCAAGAGCCACCACCACCAAACAGTAGTATACTGTACTAGCAAAAACGAGAAGTCACACTCACACAGAGATACATTGTGAAAGAAAGCAAGGCATCCTATAAAACACAAGGGTATACAGACATTAACAAGCGCACACACACACACACACACACAGCACATGGAACATGTACATCAAAAAGCTAATTTGGACTCCTCACTGTAACTTCACCACCTTTTGTCTCTCACACACACAAGGTTAAAATTGATCCAAATGGTTAACTAATCATCTAAACACACACACACAACATGAAGCCAGTTATCTTACACCCAAGCCACTCTATCTCTCTGTTTCTGTTACTCACAAAGCTCCCAAAACATCCTCAAAACAAGAAATGTATCTCTTTACCTTCAACTTAAGCTCCCAGTGTTTCCTGTATGTGTAACAGTTAATTCCCTGTGTTGGTTAAAACAGTCAGCACGTGTCCTCTCCAGTTGCAAACAGGGGAATCCTTGCATCAATGAGAGACGTCTCTCCCGGATTCCAGCGCAGCGTTCAGCTCTATACACACACACACACACACACACACACACTCACACATTACAGCATATACTCACACATGCTGCCTCTTGCACGCCTAGACCAGACTGAAGGCTAGGAGAGGGTGTGTGCGCTGCTGCCTGAGTCTGAGCCCGCCCTCTTTTCTCTGGTTCTCCCCTTCTCTCCCACATGCACTCACCCTGCCCTCCTCCCTCTTCCCTCTCTCATCTCCTCTCCGCTCTTTCTCTCTCCAATTTCACCTCCCCCGGCTTGCCAATTGACTGCCAGCATGTGTGCTGGGTCTGTGCCTCTAAGCCTTTAGATGTCCCAGTCCTTTTAATTGCTGGCTCTCTGGCCTCAAGTTCTACACAAAAAACAAAGATACACAGATACAGTGGACAAGCACAGGCATGAACAAACAGGATATTTGTACAGACGCAAGCAGATGTGTCTACAAGTAAAATATTACAAACTGATATGGTTAAATATGAGATTGCGGATGATACTGTCTTGAAAAATAAGTAAGTAGGAAATGTCATATTAAAATGTCTAACTTGTAAGATTGAATGCAACAGAACAGAGATGTGGTTTCGGCAGAGAGGTGAGAAAGGTGCACAGTGAAGAAGAATCCTTCTCATTCCTTGGAAACGTTCCACAAGAGCTTGTAGCTCCTTTTATGCTGCTGCTTTTTTTTCTTTCTTTTTTTTCCACCCGTCTTTCATTTACTATCTTATAACCCACCAGGCTTTTTGTAAGAGGCTTCGGATAAAAAGAATGAACCCTCAAGTGGTAGTTTTTGCTATATTTACCATTTTCTTCCATGTTTTGAAAAAGAATCACCACCTGTAGGCTTTAAACACGGCTCGGAAAAGTTTGTAGCCTGCTCCTTCACAGACAGCAGTTATAGTCAGATTGGATACACACAGTTACAATGGATTCCAACAGTGATCCAGTTTTAGGGCAAAAAATCAAAAGGTCCATAAAAACTACACAAGCCACTTATAATGTATGTTCCAGACATGCATGTACT